CCCCCTCCTCCTCCTCCTTCCCCTCCTCCCTCTCCCCTTCCTCCCCCTCCTTCTCCCCTGCCTCCTCCCCTTCCCCTCCCCCTCCTCCCCCTCTTCCTCCCCCTCCTCTTCCTTCTCCCCATCCTCCCCCTCCCCCTCCTCCTCTCCCTTCTCTCCATCCTCCCCCTCCTCCTCCTTCTCCTCCTCCTGCAGAAACAGCTGCTCGACTACATGAACGCGGCCAGCAGTGTTCCCGCTCTGCCCACAGCGCGCCCAAGAGCGTGGACCTCTTCTCCAAGCTCGACCTGACTCAGGTGAGGACGCCCTGGCGCCCCAGGCTGCCAGCCTCAGCCTGCTCTGGGCCTCGGCTCGTGGTGCATTCCTGTTCGGCCCCCATGAGCCCATCCCTCGTGGCTACATGGGCTCCTGGGGCCGTAGGTCTTGGGGCCTCTGTAGTCACTCAAGGAACTTGTGATGAGCTCCCATTAGGTGTAGGATCGGAGGTGGCTGGAAAGACGTGCCCTGCCTGGTCTTTCTCTGTGCGCATACACACACACACACACACACACACACGGTGTACACACTCACACATTCACGTGTGCTCTCTACACACCTAGCGAGACACGTGAACTATACACAGACACACCTGCAAACAAACACAGCAAGACGCACACAGGTGAGGTCACACATTTACACTCACACGTGCACTCTGGGAGGGCACATGTCAGTGCCTGAGGGAGCCTCTGTGCAGGGTCCTCTGTTCCCACTTTGGACCCTCACTGCCCCCCGGGACCACCACCCCCCACCCCATCTGTCATACGCCGATGCTGTGGCCACAGGGAACACGTCATCTGGCTTCTAATGACCACGGAGCATGTCTTCCTTTTCTTTGAAATAATAGCCTTATTGGGATATGATTCACACACCATCACATTTACCCTCGTAAAGCATCCACTTCAGCATTTCTAACTCAGCCAGAATTGTGCAGTCTTCGCTACTCTCCAGAACATTTCATCACCCCCAAGAGATACGTTTTGCATCGGGTTTCTTTCACTTAGCGTAGTGTTTTCAAGGTCGATCCACGTCACAGTATGAATCAAGACTTCCTTCCTTTTTAGGGCTGGATAATATCCCGTTATGCGCGGACACACCACATTTTCCTTATCCATCACTTGATGGCCATTTGGGTTGTTTCTGCTTCTTGGGTGTTGTGAATAATGCTGTGTGAACATGAGTGTACACGTGTTTGGGTGGATATGTGTTTCCAGGTATCTCGGTTATCTACCCAGGTGTGGAGCTGCTGAGTCATATGGTACCTCTGCACTGAATATATCGAGGAACTGCCAGACTGTTTTCCAGGTGGGCTGCGTGATTCTACAATCCCGTGATCAGTGTGTGAGGGCCCCAATTCCTCCACATCCTGTCCACACTTGGCATTGTCTGTCTTTCAGAATATTAGCAGCCATCCCAGTGGGTGTGAAGTCCTGTCTCATTGTGATTTTGCTTTGCATTTCCATGGTGACAATAACCTTGAGCATCTCTTTTGTGCTTATTGCCTATTTGTGTCTCCTCTTTGAAGAAATGTCTATTCAGATCCTTTGCCAATTTTAAAATTGGATGATTTGGGGTTTTTTAAATGTATTTATTTCTGAGAAAGAGAGCATGAGCAGGGGAGGGTTAGAGAGAGAGGGAGACACAGAATCTGAAGCAGGCTCCAGGCTCTGAGCTGGCTGTCAGCACAGAGCCCAACACGGGGCTCAAACCCACGAACTGTGAGATCACGACCTGAGCCGAAGTCGGACGCTTAACTGACTGAGCCACCCAGATGCCCCTATTTGGGGTTTTTAAAAATTGCATTCTAAGATGTATGTCCTTTATCAAATATGCAATTTGCAAATATTTCCTCTCATGCTAAGGGTTGTTTTTTCATGTGATGGTATTCTTGAAGAACAAGGGCTTTTCATTTTGATGAAAATCCAGTTGAGCTGTTTTTTTCCTTTGGCTACTTGTCTCTAGGCATCACATCTAAGAAACTATCGCAAAAACTGTAATCCAAAGTCACAATGATTTATACCTAATTTTATTATAAGAAATGTATAGTTTTTGCTCTAATGTTTAGATTTATGATCCATTTTCATTTCTAATTTGTCTATGGTCTGAGCTAGGAGTCCGATTTCATTCTTTTGCATAAACATAATCCGTTGTCCCAATAGCATTTGTTGAAAAAAGAACTCCCCCACTGCAATGCCTTCTCTCTCTTGTCAAAACTCAATTGATCGTGAAAGTGAAGGTTAATTTCTGCACTTTCAACTCTATTCCGTTGGTCTAGATGTCTACCCTATGCCAATACCTCACTGTCTTGATTACTGTAGCTTCGTAGTCAATCTTGAAATTGGGAGGTGTGAGTCCTCCAACTTTGCACTTCTCGGATGTGGTTTGATTCTCCTAACGGGGCCTGGTGGCATCGCGAGTGGAAGCTCAGTGGCCGGATGGGTTTCAGGCATGGTGTGATCCGAGGCTCACTGGGTCATCAAGACTCATCCTTTCCACACCCTGCTGGCTGCCATCTTCAAGACTGGCCTCATTCTGGGTCACAGCTCGCTCTCCCTACTTGAGGCAAGCTCAGTGGAGACTTTCCAATACAGGATGCTCAGTTCCTCTGGAATGCGGAGCCCTGCCTGCCCCAGGGTTGCCATAGCAACAGCCAACAGTCAGCAAGCCTGCGTCTCCTTGGGAAGGACCCCTCACAAGCACTTCAGACTGTATCAGGGCTGCTCAGCGGCACAGCTCCAGGGACACCATTCACGGCGTTGGCATCCCCTGGGGCAAAACTCTGTAATTCACATTCACGTTGTGATATGAATGATGTCGTTTTCAATAAGGGCACGTATGTCTGCATACTCACAGTACATTGATTTCATCTTCTTCCAGAGAAAAAGGAAGAAATTACACGGTGGTGTCAAGGGGTCCCGTGGGTCTCCTGCAACAATCACTCAACCAAGACTTATTGAGTTGCCCACATGTGCTCAGCATGGTGCTAAGAGTTAGAGGTGGAAGGTCCTTATGAAATGAATGCCTCTAAGAGAAGGAGGCTGGGGGCAGTCAGGGCGGGCTTCTTGGAGGAAGCAGTGAAAATAGGCAAGCAACCACATCAGGAAGTACTTGGACTCAGTCATCCAGCTTTGCTACCACGAGGCTGTGCAGCTTCAGGCAAGTCACCTAACCTCTCTGAGCCTCAGTTTGTTCATTTGCCAACCGTCCTCTATAGCACATCCTTTGCAGGGTTGCCTGTAAGAGCTGAAGGAAGGGTAGGTAAGCTTTGATGGTGCCTTGGTCCCTGGGAAGTGGTGTCAAAGCACCATCAGGTGACAGAGATTTCTTTCCTCCCAGGAATTTCTGTTGGACAAAATGGAGACAGTGAAATTTGTATCACTGCTCACGGAACCCAGAGTGTGCTGGGCAGGGGACAATGTCAAGAACCAGAGTCTCAGAAGATACCCCAGGTTCTTCAGGAAATGCCCAAGGGATCAAGATTCGACACCCCCCACCCCAAGCCCCCATTCCCAGTACCCAGACTTCAGCGCGCTGTACCCGTACTGGCCAGGCTGGTGACCAAGCCGGCCCTGCCAGCATCATGACTGCTCCTTAGCCCCTCGGCCTCCTTTTCTCCCCACAGCGCCCCCGAGTGGTTGGGAGCCAGTCTGGGGTAGGGGTGCTGTTCTGTCACACTGGGAGGTTCCCTGATGGGAGGCAGCGGGAGGTCAGGTGGGCGGTCCCAGGTTGGACCTGGACCTGGGAGCCACTGCCGGCTGCATGGTCAAGGTCATTGGTGGATTTGTCTCTGAATAGATGCGTAGCTTTTAGGAATACCCAAATCAAAGAAACTCTCGTAAAGAACCGTGGCAGACTGGGGGTACCGAATTTGTGCCTGGGGGACATCTCATCACTGGTTCTCAGAAGCGGAAGCAGAGTCCGTGCCTCCCGCCTTTCCCGAGGGTCCCAGAGCTGCCCGGAGTGAATGCTGTTCTCAGGGAGGGCTTGGCAAGGCAGAGCCCTCTCCAGCCTGCCTGTAAAACTGGGTGAGAGAGTGGCTAAGGAAGCCCCACCCCCACCCCGCAGCCTGATGTTCTTAGGTCAGGGATGGAAGAGCTTAGCCTGGATGGAAGGCACTGCTTTGGTTTTCTTGTGTCGCTGGTGTAAAACCCTCCTGGCAGCCCGGGAAAGAATTCACCTCGGAGGCCTGCCTCAGTTCATCGGTTTGGATAAAAGTTGCGAGTTAAGAGCAACTGACCTGGCTGCGATCAGTAGTCAGCAGGTTAGCGTTCAAAGAAGAGCTTCAGAAATGGGGCCGCTATTCAGTCGACAAACACCGAGGGCCGTCATTTTCCAGGTGCGTTGGGGGAGGGGACAGGAGGCTCAGAGGGCGGGAATGTAGGAGGAGTAGGATTTAGCTGCTGAATATGTTCGGGAAGCTACAGTGTGGATGAGTGTGCTCAAGCCTTCTGAGCTGCTTACAGGGGAGCCGAGGGGGGAGACGATTGTTTCAGGTTCTGGTCTCACAGGCCTTTGGAGCAAAGAGGACATCTCAGGGAGGCTGGAGTCCAGCTGGAGAAGGCGGAGGTCGGGGCTCAGAAAGGGGAGGGATCGCAGTGGGAGGGGCTTCCAGTCTGGCTGGAGCAGAGGAACCTGACGCAGGCAGGGGCGCAGGAGCGGAGAAGGCTGACTGTGGAGCCCTCGTGGGGTCCACAGGCCCGGCCTCGAGGTCTGGACCTCGGTCCCGAGGCCACACATGGGAGTGTCTTAGACTTGGGCTGGTATACCAGAAGACCACGGACTAGGGGCTTAAACAACATTTCTCTCTCGTACTTACAGAGACAGGAAGTCCCAGATCAAAGCACCGGTAGACTCGCTGTCTGGCGAGAGTCAATGTCCTGCGTCACAGACGGCTGGCTGTCTTCTTGTGTCCTCATACGGTGGAAGGAGCAGAGCACCTCTGTGGGGGTCTCTCTTATAAGGGCACGAATCCCATTCCTGGGGGCCACACCTTCATGACCTAATCACCTCCCAAAAGCCTCACCTCTTAAAACGTTGCAGGTTAGGACTTGACCATGTGCATTTGGGGCGAGGGGTCCCATTCAGTCCCTTGTAGGGAGCCTTCCACATTCCTACTTTCCTCTGTTCCCTCTCATCCCACATCTGCTTTCCAGAGACATCCGAAGTATCCCATCCATCTCCCAGTGAGGTGGGCACACTCTCGGCCAATGATTCTTGGGCTTGTACATTTGTCGAAGACGTATTACAACACAGAGTGTGGCCCCAGTCCCGGAGCTTCTGATTCAACAATCTGGGGTCTTAAAGGACTTAGAGTTTGCATATATATATATTTTTTTTCTTTTTTTTAAGTTTATTTATGGGGGGGGGGGTAGAGAATCCCAAGCAGTTTCCGCACTGTCAGCAAAGAACCTGATGTGGGACTTGAACTCACGACTCTGAGATCATGACCTGAGCCAAAATCAAGAGTTGGATGCTTCACCAACTGAGCCCCCCAGGCGCCCCTAGATTTGCATTTCTAACGCGTTCTCATGAGATGCCGATGCTGGAGATCCCAGGACCTACTTTGAGAACCGCTGCTTTAGAATGTTGGCAAATCCTAACTGCCTGGGCTGGTTCTGCTCCTCTCTAACCACCTCCTCCCGCGCCCCCCCCCCCCCCCCCCCCGCCTCCACCCCTGCTTGCCTAGACTTCAGTGTCCTGTCTGCATGATGGGACTGGACCTGAAAGCCTGGGAGGGCCATCCCCACCCTGTCTAACCTCCCGGAAGGTACCAGACATACACTCTTTCATCAGCCTAGGGCTTGGTTCTGTGGCTTCCTGGCTTTGCCTGCGAGGCCTCTGAGAAGTGCCTTTGTCTTCCTGTCCCCTGCCATCTGCATGCTGTCACCGGTTGTGCGTGTGTAGGTCTGGTTCAGATGTTTTGTCACACGCCTCAGGGAGGAGGACGATCAGAGCAGATCCCTGGGGTGTCGGTGGCCTGGCCATCAATCTGCATTTGCAACGGGGCAGCCCGGTCTTTTAGGAGCTCCCAGCCTCCACCGCAAGGGGCTTGGCTCATGAAATAGACAGACGGCGTCCAGGGCTGAGCCATGCTGCAGGCATGTACGCTGGGGTTTACCCTTTCTGGGCTTTTATGTCTAACAGAAAGCTCTCTCCGCCCTGACCCCGTGCCTTTACAGTACTTGGGTTCCACGTTAGCTGGGGAAAGGCCTTCAAGTGCATTTGGAGGAAAAAGCAGTGGTTATCATACCTTAGGAAATGTCACTTCATCTGATTGCCCGTTCAGACCCTGAGACCCCAAGACACAGGAGGCCCAGGGCTTGGACACTTTGTGAGATAGAGAGCTCATTACCTGAATTCCAGCTTTAAGCAACTTCAAGTGTGAGAAGATTCTCTCTGCAGATCATCCTGGGAGAGCTGGGTTGTTAGCAAGTGGCTGGCGCTGGAAAAAAAAAAATAGCGGGAAAACCAAATTATGTCCTGTTTTATACCATACATATTAGGATATATCAGTTCCTTTGAGTGGTCATTTTCCAACTTCTGTGTTCATTAAAATCACTGCAACGCTTGCTAATCACGGACGATGAGATCGTTCTAGAGATTGTTCTCAAAGATGCTGGTTCTGATGTGGGACCCAAAAATCTGGATTTTTAGCAAGCTCCCTGGCAGTTCAGATGAGATGGTTCTTCCATCATCATAGAGTGAGAAATACTGAGTGTCTAAATGCCAAAAAGAAGAAAATCTGGTGTGGGCTGACCTGCTCTGCAGTTGGGAAAACCTTTGGAAGCATGAAAGTCACAGAAGGGATACCAGAAAATAATCTGATTACATAAAAATTAATGCGTCTACCTCAGAACACATCAAAATATCTAAAGACAACAAACTGGAGGGAAATGATAAATTTGGAAAAGGAGCAATGTTTTAAAGAGCTTTCACAAAGTAAAAAAAGACAATTGTTCATATTCAGAAAATCACAAAATAAATAAAAATGGCCTAGCAACATGAAAAATATCTCACCTCACTAAAAATAGAATTAAGCCATATAATTTCTGTCCATAAGAAAAATCAAGCTAATACACTAATGCTTGTAAGGTAGGCTGTCTAACAGTGAGATATTGTTTGCATAAACCCTCTGGAAAGCAATTTGATGAGAGGTCTCCAGAGGCTTAGAAAATGTTTATGTCCTTTGGCTCAATAATTCCAAGCCAAGAAATTTAAGCTAAAGAAAACAGAGCTATTTGGTTCAAAAATGACAGCTCAACTCAACTTGGCTTAAGCCAAAGAGAGAATGCATTGGCTTATAAAACTAGAAGGTCGGGGACAGCTTCAGGCACAGCTTGATCAAGAGCTCGGTGTCAACAGAATCCAGTCTCTATCTCTGGGCTCTGCTCTTCTACATCTGGCTCCATTCTCCAGTTCCGAGTAAATAACCTCAGTCCTGCATCCTCCAAACTTGAAGGCAGAGCAAGAAAGAGAATGTCCCTTTGCGGTAAATCCCAGGAAAAATCTGAGGGTTCACTCTGATTGGCTCCCTTGGGTCAGATGCCTCTCTTTAAACTAATCCCTGATTGGCCAGGCTTAAGCGATGCCTCCATCCTCAACTAATCTTTGTAACTAGGGGGGAGTCCATACCCTGATTGGCCAAGCCTGGGTCAAATTTTTTAGTTTAAGAGAGGTAGACTATCTTTTATGGCTAGACTCATTGCCCTGGAGGAAGGAGTGGATGCCACAAGAACTACATGGGCTGAAAGAAGGGGACATGTGGTTCCCCCAAAGGGAAACTGGGCTACTTTTACCACAGGACCTGATGCTGCTTGGGGCAAAACCCAGAAATGCCCGTTACAGATGCCGGCAGGGTGTTGAAGATGTCCCCCACATTGTTATTTAGAGTAGCCAAACTTCAAACAACCTAAGTATCTCGGAGGAAGAGTTTAATAAATAATGCCCGAACTTGATGATTCGATAATTCTGAAATTATGACATTACATGTTTCCAAAAATGTTAGGAAAACTATAGGATGTAAAGTTAAGTGGAAAAACGGATTTCAAAAATGGAAATCCAATTTGGTCACATTTATATATGCACAAGAGTGGAAGGATATATACTAAATTAGTGCTTCGAAGTCAGAGGATCATGACCCTCAGGGTGTTAATTTCCACCTAGCGCAGCAGATTGAATTGAGTCATGAGATAGATCGGGGTCCCAAAATGTCCATTCTCCTGCAGTCGTGTCTACTTCATTGGGCTTGCTAGAGACTCATGGTGGTCAGGGTACTCCTCTCCACCTCCCGATGCTGGGTTGGCCATGTGACTTGCTTTGGCCAATAGGACATTAGTGGATCATGACATAATCAGAGGCTTAAAACATGATCATGCCATGGGGCCTGGGGCTTACCACCGGTAAACTCTGCCATGGAGAGAGTGTGCCTTTGGGAGCCCCTTGATTCCAGAGGGTGGAGAGTCACGTGGAGCAGAGATGGCCCCAACATGCAGTTTGGGTCCATGAAAATTGTTCAGTGATCCTCAGCCAACCCTGACTGAGAAATAAATGCTTATAAT